TTGTTTCATCTTTAGTTCTTCTAGGTCCTTGTTAAATATGTTTCTTGTTTTGTCTATTTCCAAGATTTTGGATCATCTTTACTGTCATTATTCTGAATTCTTTTTCAGGTAGACTGCCTATTTCCTCTTCATTTGTTAGCTCTGGTGGGTTTTTTCCTTGCTCCTTAATCTGCTGTGTGTTTTTCTGTCTTCTCATTTTGCTTATCTTACTGTGTTTGGGGTCTCCTTTTTTGCAGGCTGCAGGTTCTTAGTTCCCGTTGTTTTTGGTGTGTGTCCCCAGTGGCTAAAGTTGGTTCAGTGGGTTGTTTAGGCTTCCTCTTGGAGGGGACTAGTGCCTATGTTCTGGTGGATGAGGCTGGATCTTGTCTCTCTGGTGGGCAGGTCCACGTCTGGTGGTGTGTTTTGGGGTGTCTGTGGACTTATTATGATTTTAGGCAACCTCTCTGCTAATGGGTGGAGTTGTGTTACTGTCTTGCTAGTTGTTTGGCATAGGATGTCCAGCACTGTAGCTTGCTGGTCATTGAGTGAAGTTGGGTGCTGGTGTTGAGATGGAGATCTCTGGGAGATTTTCGCCATTTGATATTATGTGGAGCTGGGAGGTCTCTTGTTGACCAGTGTCCTGAAGTTGGCTCTCCCACCTCAGAGGCATAGCACTGACTCCTGGCTGCAGCACCAAGAGCCTTTCATCCACATGGCTCAGAATAAAAGGGAGAGAAAGTAGAAAGAAAGAAAGAGAGAGATATATATAGAGAGAGGGTGGGAGGGAGGGAGGAAGGAAGAAAGAAAAGAAAGAAAGAGGAAAGAGGATAAAATAAAATAAAGATAAAATAAAATTATTAAAATAAAAAATAATTATTAAGAATTTTTTTTAAAAGAAAAAAACAAAACAATAAAATGGATGGATAGAACCCTAGGACAAATGGTGAAAGCAAAGCTATACAGACAAAATCTCACACAGAAGCATGCACATACGCACTCACAAAAAGAGGAAAAGGGGAAAAAATAATAAATCTTGCTCTCAAAGTCCACCTCCTCAATTTGGGATGATTTGTTGTCTATTCATGTATTCCACAGATGCAGGGTACATGAAGTTGATTGTGGAGCCTTAATCCGCTGCTTCTGAGGCTGCTGGGAGAGATTTCCCTTTCTCTTCTTTGTTCGCACAGCTCCCTAGGCTCAGCTTTGGATTTGGCCCTGCCTCTGCGTGTAGGTCGCCGGAGGGCATCTGTTCTTTGCTCAGATAGGACGGGGTTAAAGGAGCAGCTGCTTCGGGGACTCTGTCTCACTCAGGCCGTGGGGAGGGAGGGGTGTGGATGCGGGGCGAACCGACGGCGGCAGAAGCCAGTGGGACATTGCACCAGACTGAGGCGCTCCGTGCATTCTCCCGCAGAAATTGTCCCCGGATCCCGGGACCCTGGCAGTGGCGGGCTGCACAGGCTCCCCCGAAGGGGAGGTGTGGATAGTGACCTGTGCTCACACACAGGCTTCTTGCTGGCGGCAGCAGCATCCTTAGCATCTCATGCCCGTCTTTGAGGTCCGCGCTGTTAGCTGCGGCTGGCGCCCGTCTCTGGATCTCCTTTAAGCAGCGCTCTTAATCCCCTCTCCTGGTGCACCAGGAAACAAAGAGGGAAGAAAAAGTCTCTTACCTCTTCGGCAGGTCCAGACTTTTCCCCAGGCTCCCTCCCGGCTAGCCGTGGTGCACTAACCCCCTGCAGGCTGTGTTCACGTCGCCAACCCCAGTCCTCTCCCTGAGATCCGACCGAAGCCCAAGCCTCAGCTCCCAGCCCCCGCCCGCCCCAGCGGGTGAGCAAATCAGCCTCTCGGGCTGGTGAGTGGCAGTCGGCACCGATCCTCTGTACGGGAATCTCTCTGCTTTGCCCTCCCCAGCCCTGTTATTGTGCTCTCCTCCGCGGCCCCGAAGCTTTCCCCCTCCTCCACCCTCAGCCTCCGCCCGCGAAGGGGCTTCTTAGTGTGTGGAAACCTTTCCTCCTTCACAGCTTCCTCCCACTGTTGCAGGTCCTGTCCCTATTCTTTTGTCTCTTTATTCTTTTTTCTTTTTTCCTACCCAGGTACGTGGGGAGTTTCTTGCCTTTGGGGAGGTCTGAGGTCTTCTGCCAGCGTTCAGTACGTGTTCTGTAGGAGTTGTTCCACGTGTAGCTGTATTTCTGGTGTATCTGTGGGGAGGAAGGTGATCTCCGCGTCTTACTCTTCCACCATCTTACCATCTTCTCTGCTATTGATTCTTTCTAGTGTATTTTTCATTTCAGTTATTGTATAGTTCACCTCTGTGCACGTATAGATGTATTTCTGTTGTATCTGTGGGGAGTTAGGTGATCTCCGCGTCTTACTCTTCCCCCATCTTCCCCATTCCAAAAAACTGTCTCTTCATTCTTGGAGGCAGCAATTTGCCCTGTGTCCACCACCTTCTCTTACAGATCCAATAAGAGTTGTTGATTTTCTAGTTGTTATTAGGGTGGAGTGACAGCTTCCAAGTTTCATACATGTGGAGCTGCTAGTGTTGGATGGTCTCCTGCAGAGGCAGAGGATGGCTGTGGCTCACCGTGGGGACAAGGACACTGGCAGAATTTCTGAGAAGTACTCCTTGGTGTGAGCCCTCTGAGAGTCTTCCATTAACCCCACCAAAGAGCCGGGTAGGCTCTAGTGTTGAGGTGCCTCAGGCCAAACAACTAGCAGAGAGGAAACCCAGCCCCACCCATCAGCCTGGACTATATACTTTTAAAATACTATTTCTGCCCATTTATAGTTTATATAGATTTTTAAAAAACATGTTTTCTCTTATTTGATCCTCAAATGTGGTAGGTTATTATTCTAATTTTACTGATGAGGTAATTGAGTCTCAGAAGCTAAGTGACTTGTGCGCGGTCAATAGCTAATAAAGAGCTGATCCTAGATCAGTATCTAGGTATGTGTGTTTTTGTCCTTATTGAGAATGTCTTAAATCAACTACTTAACATAAGAGACACTTAAATTTTTTTAAATTATTGAACTAATTTAACTGGGAACGTCCATATTAAAGGAATAACTGAGAGTTGCAGGGTGGTGGGGGTGGTGATGGTTAATCTTGGCTAGTATAGCCATGAATATGAGAGGAGTGAAAGAGAAAATTAGCTTCACCAAGCTAGTTTGCTCATTCTGAGAGTTACACTGACAGTTATCTTTTCTCCTCCCAGCCTTGTCCCTATCATCAGTGATTACCTCCTTCAGGGACTGTCTAAGCAGTGGGTTCCAAAATTTCCTTTTGTTGTAGTTTATTGGGGTTTATTATAGGCATCTACAGTTGCTTGGAGATTCAGCCATTCCCCCGCTGAGCCCCAAAGATGACCTGACGTCGCTGAAAAGACTGTTCACAATTGGATATATGCATTTACCTCTTTTACTTTTTTAGAGAGAGGAGAATTACCAAGCAAAGATATCTCCATCTTCACCTCAGGGGCCACTCAAAAAGAGGTCAGCTTTTGAAGATCTCACCAATGTGAGTATGCCAGTCCAGTCCTCTGCCCTGGTGTAGCATAAGGTTTAGACAACCTCTTCCTTGCGGGACCTTTCCAGTTTACCAAACTCTGACCTTCTCTAGAATGTTGAGAGCCAATTTTATTTGGAATCAATGACCCAATTTCAGAAACTGCAGTGGCTCTTCTGCTGCCACATACCATCTGGATTAATTGATGGAGCTCTCTGGAAGCAGTACGAGTGATTATCAGGTATGGAATTGTAGACAAATATGAGAACTTTGGGATCTTGCATTTAGATAAAGTCCAGATGTGGCTCAGCTGGTTGCATAGGCCTTGGAGGCAAGAACTTTGGTAGATTCATTGTAGTCTAGGGCAGTGTTTATCAATTCAAGCACTATGCGCATTTTGAACAGCAAAGTTTTTCTATTGTATATGACTGACTTCAGCCAGCATTCCTGGTCCCTAGCATTAAGTTCCAGCAGCATCCAAGTCATAGTGACAATCAAAAATGTCATCTGATGTACAGAACCATTGATGACCACAGTTCCATGATCTGGTTTTCAACTATGGAGATCTAGAAACTCAATTTTGACTAGAATTCTTGAGTTCACTTCCAAGTTACCTCCCTTCTGGTGTTATTAAGGCACCAGCAAAAAAAAATTACTAGTTAGAAAGTTACTAACTGAATATAGAATTGAGTCAGAGGTAATCTTTGGTCTTAGAAAATAATAATAACTGATGTCTCCTGAGTGTTTACCATGTGTCAAGCACTATTCTAAGCATTTTTCCCTCTATCCACTCACTTAATCCTCATAAAATCCTTTGAGGCAGATACTATAATTATCTCCACTTCACAGATAAAGACTTGCCCAATGTTGTTTTTGAAGTCTGTTTCATCTAGGATACAGAGAACCCTAGTGGACCCTATCCTGCCCTCTATAATAGTGTCCTTCTGTGGCTACCAGAATTCTTACATCTGCTAGATAATATTTTACCCCCTTGGGCAGGATTGGATAAGCATTGGCAAAGTTCTCCCCTTTGTATCTCTGCTCTTTAGATGCTATGTGACCACCTTTGTGCTAAAACAGTCTTTTCCCCATGCAGATAACAACATGTATGATTGTGTTACAGCTTCCTGCATAATCAGATTTACTCTAGATTGGTTGAAAGAGCTACCTCCCACACAGACCTGTAAGGTTAGATTCATTTCCTGACTTATTTAACCATGGCTCTAGAAACTTGGTTGAAATAAGGTAGCCACAGAAATCATAAGCAGATGCAGCTCATCTTAATGTAGCTCCCCTTGGCCTCCAGAGTCCCTGATGGGAGTCCAGTGACACTGTGCAAAGCAAAGTCTAACCGCATATGAAAAACTTTCCTGCCATGTTTCAGTCCTGTTTTTGTTGTGAAGTTTATATCATCATTCATAAAGAACAAACACAAATAAATTAATAGGAAACACATGCTAGGACCCTCCTGATTCTCCAACTGAATTCAACATCTGTTAGGCCACATACTTGTCCAGGGTTGGGGATGCAAGTCATCCCTAAGCAGTATCTCTGCCTCTAGCTTTGTAGAAGCTCAGAAAGCCCATTTCCCTTTTGTGTTCAAGTCCTAGTCACCTTGAATGATCTTTGGTGCTTTCCAGACAAAGTTCTATCATTACAGTGTACCTAAGCCATTCCAGGGTTGGGCATTTCTGCAGACGTCTGAGCTCATTTCTTTGAGGGTTGAGGACTCTTTTCTCTCTGAATTTTGGGGTTTCCCTTTATGATGATTTGCTTCTTCCTGTCAGTATTACTTCGTTTCCATGTCCCCATATCTGTCTTCTCCTCAACATTCACCACAGTGAGGTCCTGGCTTGCCAAAAGAGCTGATCTGTTTTAATTAGTTAGTCTGCTGTGAGTGTTCTTTTTTTCCCTCTCCTTTATCCTTTCAGCATGGGAAGGACTGTTGATTTGTTAGAGCTGGTCCAAAGCCAGTGGATGAGGAGATAAAGTCTATTTCCTAAATTATTTTTTGCCAGTAGGATTGTCATCTCTATTTTCCTATTTTTTGGTGAAAGAATTATGGGGAGATACTGGTAAAGGTCCCCTTGAGCTTAGATCTGAAAATATTAGTGCTTTGAACCTTCACATATGGCAAGTTGAAAGTTTCACCCTGGGGATTAGGGTCTCCACCTCTCTCCTGCCAAGAACGCACATCTTTTCCAATGCTGGATCTCAGCCTGACACATAAGGAGTTTGTAAAACTTTAGGTGAAATTAAAATGCAAACTGTGTCAAGCTCTTTGAAGAGCAGAAGTGGACAACAACTTGAGGGCCTAAGGAAGAATTCCCTGTTGGATTGTAGTTGCTTATTATGATACGATGATACAAAGGCATAATTTTTTTTATACTTCATATGGAAATAATTTCAAATTTATAAAAAGTTGCAAAAATAAGAAAACAGTACAAAGAACACACATATGCTGTTTACCTAGGTTCACGTATTACTAACATTTTATCCTATCTGCTTACATACATCATGGTCCTTTACCATGAAGTACTTAGGGTATTTCAGTGTATATAGAGAAAGAGTCTCTATATACTATTTCTCCTCAGAGAAATAGTCTTATATAAACACAGTGCAGTCAACAACTTTATAAATTTACATTGATATAGTGTTTTTATGTAATCTATTGTCCATATTCCAATTTTTTTCCATTGACTTTGTAAAGTCAATGTTATAAGCATTTTTTCCCCTCCAGTAAAGGATCCAGTCTAGGGTCGTTTACTTGTCATGTCTCTAGCTTCTTTTAATCTGGAACACTTCCATAGCCTTTCTTTGTTTTTTATGATATTTTTGAAGAATACAGTCCCACCCAACCCCCCTTTTAAAAATAGAACATGCCTCATTTTGTGTTTGTCTGATGTTTCCATGTGATTAGATTGATGTTATATACGCTTGGCTGGAGTACTGCATAGGTGATGTTCTGTCCTTAGAGTATCACATCTGGAGGCACATGACATCCATCTGTCCCTCATTGGTGAGGTTAATTTTGATCACCCAGTCAAGATGTTGTCTGGTTTCTCCGCTGTATAATTACTGTTTATTTTTTTTCCTCTTGCAACTAATAATCTGTGGGACACACCCTTAAGAGCCTCCAAATGGCCACTCTTCATCAAAATGTCCCCTAGATTTAGCCTTCATTGATGATTTTTGCCTAACACAATCTTTTTGATGATTTTTCCAACTCTAGCACTTGCTCCCCGTTTACCAGTCTACAAGCAGAGGCCTCCCTTCTTCCCTGTTTATTTATTATTGGTATAGACTTATGAATTCCTGTTTTTTCAGTGGTTTGTTGTTCAGTATTGTATTTTATTATTTTGGTGCTCAAATTTTCCCAAATTTGGTCACTAGGGTCCCCTTTAATCTGACTACTGTGTCTTTGTGACATACTATCATCATTTTCTTGAGCATTTTCTTTCCAGCATAACAGGATGTTCCAGGATGTTCTTGTACCTATTTTATTGCCATGGAGTCAACCATTTCTGTGAAGAATTCCTGTTCCTTTTAGTGGGGAATGGTATTAGAGACCAAGATCTCAGTGCTAGGTGTGCTACTGGGGTGTCTGCTTTTTCTGCCCTTTCTGCAGACAGAGTTAGGAAATGTCTGCATGTATATATACATATAGATACACACATATCTGTACTTATATATATATATATATATATACACACATATATCTATATATACAAATACACACACTCCTGTATACTCAGATGTATATACACATATACCTATTTAAGAAATCATGAGTCCACACGGCTCCCATTCCAAAACGTACAGGGTTCTTTCTTGTATTCCTCAATCCGTGTTTATATGTTCCTTCTCTACAATGAGAACCATGGTTCACAAGATCATCAACACATTTACTCAATACTATAATACATCTAGAAGAGTTTCAGAATTACTTCTTCCACACCACCATAATAAACACACCTACTAAAAAGAGTTCCAGATTTATTTGCAATATTCTCCACCATCCCACAAACATATCCTGACTGAGGATGTATATGGTGAGGGTGTATAGTCTGTGTTTACTTGGATTAGTTGTTTATTATCTTGTATTTCCTTCTGTTTTCTTTCTTTTGTCCTTCAGTGTGGTTATGGTATTTATTTGGAATATAATTAGATTCAATTTGTTTAATTTTAAAGGCATAACCTTTAAGATTATTTTTACTGACATTATTCACAGTCCCATGATCTCTTCTACTGTTTAATAGAATTAGTCATGATTAGAGTTTCTGGTGGAGCTTTCCAGAGCCCCATGTTAAATAAATATCCCCTCAGTGAGATGGGATAGATGTATCACAGGTAGTGTTGTATTAGAGGTCTATCCTGAAAAGCTAGTTGATCTTGGTATACTCAGGCAGCAAAGCCAGTTATATTACCTTTTCCCCCCTCTGAACATCTTATGGGGTCAAAATAGAATGTGATGTTTACAAAACATATTTTTGAGAATTTGCCAGCCAATATGCCTGACATTGGAGATCAGAGCTACATCATATGTATCTTGAAATCACTTAGGGCTGCTATTTAGCTAATATGCACCAGGACTACTGTACTGCTAGCTTCCATCATGACTAGTTGGCACCAGTACCATACTGGTTGTAAGATGTTTTGACCAATGTTCCTGGGAACACCCAAACAAGGTGTCCAGTGTGTGGATGTGTGTCAGGATCTTCCTGTGAGAACCACCTATTGGTTAATTTGAGGTTCTCTCTCTCGCTCTCTCGCTCGCTCTATCTCTATCTCTCCATTTCCTTGCTTCCTCCTCCAGACCAACCCCCCCACCTTTATTTTTTTCTTGCAGGCTTCTCAAAGTCAACCTGCCAAACCCAAGAAAGAAGCCAGTAATGAGTTTGTTAAAGATGTTTCCAAGAAGATAAACAGGAACATACGTGCTCGTGGGTGAGTACGAGGGCATTCAGATGGCATTGTTTTATATGGTAAAGGAGAGGGTGTGACATCCTTTTGACTGCCTTTTGTCCCCATTGAGAACATTTTTAGTGAGCTACAGTGGTGAGTATTACATTAACTCCGGGTGCTTAGATGGACTAAATTGCTGAAGAATTATAGGCCTCATCTCACCACCACCCCCAATCTTTCTCTCTCTCTCTCTTTGCCCCTCTCCCTCTCCCTCCCTCTCCCTCCCTCTCCCTCCCTCTCCCTCTCCCTCTGCCTCTGC